AGTAGTTATGTGATTGAGTACTGTAGTTTCAATTTTAGATCAATCAGAGTGCGAACACATGGATCACAGATTCTAGTTTTACATAGAAAGTTTTAGAGAGTTGAGAGTAATGCTCAACAGAGATCAGCACAGGACGAACTTTTCTGTCCTATCCCCTCCTGTCCTGCTATCAGTCCCTTCATGTTGAGCAGCAGGACAGAACATTTTCAAGACAAAAACAGCATCTTTAATTTTCAATTCAGTAAAACAAATATTTAACTCTTCAATCATGTTGTGACTGAAGTATGTATTTCATGATTTTCTCATGTTCTAAGCATCCCTTCCATATAAATTCAGCAACTTTTGCATCCATAGGGAAGAAGGGTAGATTGTGGTAATAATGATGAAGTTCTCCATTGAACGATGATAGCAGCCAAGCACATGATTATAGAATATTTATTTTCATCTTGCTTAAACGTATTATTCCAGCGTTTGTAGAATTACTAAATGCGTCACAGGGTTTAAAGCATCTAAAATATTTAAAGGTTCATTAGTATGTGTATTATGCTAATCTACTTTAGATGAACGTCGAAAAAAAGTTTCACTTAGGCCATAATACTGCTTATGGTTCATTTTTTATTGTTGATGGTTTATCTTTTGCTACCAAAACTTTTGACCCGTTCTGAATTCAAAGAATTTTCGAGTGTAGAAGATAAGTCTACTGAATCCATCTATTGTCTTATTGAAAATCTGGTAAATATTAAAATGACAAAATATAAACCCCGCTCCACAATAGAAAGTTCTGAACTTTCTATCTCTACTATGTGTGAGCCGAAAATTTTTTAAGGAATATCTTCTATCATGTTCCATTTATTTTTAACAACTTGTAATTAAAAAGATTTTTCAAAAAATTAATATGATTTTGAGAATTCTGAAAGAATTTTCAGGATTTCTAAAATTCAGGTATACTATTGCATTCGCTTATTTTAAGATTTTCATTTCAAAGTTCTGAAAACTGGATATTACTTAGCTTGCGTGTACTAATTAGCCCTTCTACTTTCTAAATAATTAATTAAATGAGAGAGAAACCTCTATTACACTCGATGCAATTTTTCTCCAAGTGAAGAGGGAACTCTATTATTGGAGATTTTTCTAATATTTAGAGGAGAAAAGTGTAGGAGTGGAAAGTTACCGTTCCCGGGTAACGGTAATGGAAAAGTTGCCAGTTAACTGGGAATGGGTAACTTTTTCGTTACCCGTTTCCGGGTAACTGGTAACGGGAGAACGGTCAAGTGAGCGTCTCCCGTCATCAACCACGTAGTCTCGAGTCCTCAAATCCTACTATAGGGGAGTACCCTTGGATTCTCAAGTCCCACTATTGGGAGGTATCCTTGGGTCCTCTTCTCCTACTATTGGGGGGGTACGTTAGGTCCTCAAGTCCTACTATTGGGAGGTACCCTTAGGTCCTCAAGATCTGCTATTGAGGGTACCACCCCAGGTCCTTGACTTCTACAATAGGGACTGCCCATCGATCCTCAACAACTAGTTGGTGCAAGAGAAGAAAGAACACATCTCCCGGAACCTGACTGGTGAGAAAAGGACTAATCCGCTTCCGCACTTTATTCATCGGTGGCAGAGAGCTTGAGCCCTAAAAATTGACATTTCATTCGGTAGAGCGGTCGAGAAAACGTCAAAATCGACGTGAACATTACTTATGATTATGACCATAATACGAACGCAAAATCTTCCTGAAATATCATTCATCCAGTTTTTCACCAATCAGACTTCAGAAGGCCATTTCTTTCTTGTTGAACGGACAACGAATAGTCATGCTCGAGTCAGTCCTAGTGTTATTGAGGATGCTCTATCGAATGAGGGGTATATGTATGGGCCTCTGCCCTTGCTATCATTGAAAAATAGAGTGTCCCAATAGGATTGGTCTGCTTTTTGACCAATCAGGTTTAAGGATGCCTTGCTCTTCTTATTGCTCGGACAACTAGCAGTCATGTTCGGGCCGAGCCTGGGGTTATCGCGGATGCTGTATCGAATAGGCGGTATATGTGTGGGGCTTGGTCCTTTGTATCACTGAGAAATAGAATCTTGAGAGTGTGGGAGGGTGTGCCTGCTGATCATTTGTTGACCCACACCAGCACATTCACTACCGCACCCACATCCACACCCAAACCCTATTTCGCGCCCGCATCTATATCCTCACTCACACCTGCATCGAACTCTGATTGAATTTTATTTGATAGTTAAAAGAGCTTTTATAATTTTTTTAAAATGAATTATGTACGTCAACTTGGCTTCGTCCGTTAGAAATGCAAGACAACTGAATTTTTTCTTCAGTCATCTCTGTTTACTCTGTTGTTCGATTGTACGTTGGTAAAATAATAAAAAAACAGCTCCATTGTGTTGTTTTTTTTCAAGCAAAGAAAATAAGTGAAAAATAACACAGCCGGCTGTGGGAGTAACTTTCTTCGTAATGAGAATGAATTTATTCAATCATTTTTTTAGGTTTTATTATTTTGTTGGCAATAGTGAGTTTTTTTTAAAGCTCGACATATAATTTCATTTATTTGAATATTTTGCAACAGTGTTTAAAAAATATTAACCAATTAAATCGTACATAAAGGAGTGGAAACTATCAGCAACATTGTGATGCAAGTTGTCGAGTCAAATGTATTTGACCTAATGAATAAAATAGAATTAAATTAGAAAAATATAATAAGAGTCGTATAGAGGGCATACCATCATTTATGCTACTAATAATGTACCGAGAAAACATCACAGGCACTAATAATATGTTCGCATTTTAGGCGAGCAGTGATCCTATTAACTTCATCTTGCAGAGAATCGAATGTGTAGTTGAGTGATAGTGATTAGAAAGTGTTGCATATGTGAAATTCCTCAAAAATTAAAAACACACACTATGACGATATATTTGGTAAAAGCCCAATAGAGCTCTCTTAAGTAATTACCTTATGAAATGTTTCATCAAAGTCTGTTTTCCTCACTGGAACTCAACGAACATTGTCGACTGACTCATAATTCATAGATCCTCCTCGGTTACTGTAAATAAAATGACACAGACATCTAGTACACAAGTGCTCACAAAAGCTACTGCCCAACATTTATCCATTTAACTATATGCGCTAGATTCTTGAAGGTAGCACGCACAGTCAGGCGATCTAGCAGAAAGTATTATGGGTGTGGGGTATGGGATTGGTTGGGCGGGAGTGTGGGGGTGTGGTTGGAGAAGAAATGCCTCTACCCATATCCATCCACACCAACACCCTCAGTATTAGAAAAAATCGTATAGAAAAACTTTGGTGACAGCCACAACGAATATTTTCATTTTTTTGTGCTCTATCGCTCCGCCACCCTCGTCCTGTCCTGCCATACCGCTCCAACAACCCACTCCCTGCCGAGCGACAAGCTAGGACAAAAATGTTAATTTATTCCTGTCCTGTACCATTTTCTACAAATGAAGCATTATTCCTATTAGTGAATACAATACCTAAGGACTACAGTTGTTAACAATAGCTATAACAATGAGCCCTAGTTCTTATTGTAATGCTAGTCTGACTGTATAAGATTTTCCTCTGTATTTTTTCTATTCAACTTTGTTTTACTAAAAAGTCGACATGAAATAATTTTTTTTCATTTCAATCACTTAATCACTTAATATTAAGCGTTAAGTGAGAAACCTAAACTTAATTTTAAATTAATGTAAATGGTCCACCGCTAGCATAAACTATTGAAAATAAACTAAATTGCGAATAAAAACGTTTTCTGGTGTCACGGAGCGGAGCCCGTTGAAAAATCGACGGCGAGCGGGGTAGAAGAGAAAGGTTTTTACACGGAGAGTGGGTGGAACGGGTTAGAGAATGAACGGAGCAAGGCAGGGCGGGAGATGCTGAGAAACATTTTCCACGAGAACGGACGAGGCAGGTTTGCGAGCGATACGGGGCGGCTTGTACGTGGCATCAAAATTCGATGCCCCGCACATCTCTATTATATACAGCTAAGCTTAGAGATTCAGAAAGTGTACTTGATTTGTCTGTCGAATAGTTTAAATTTGTCAGATATAATTTTTCTCAGTTGTGTCGAGATTTTCAAGCAACTGGCTTTTCTGTTTCTTTCAAGGTTGTAACAAAGTTATTTATACTATTAGATAGACTATATTTTCCCTATATAAATCTCGAAGAATGGCGGTTTTCATTTTTAGTCCAATATGTATCTGGATGCATGCTATGCGGGAAAGAGAATCGGGTCCAACTTTGTACGTCTATGTTTCACCACTTCATTGAGATCATGCTACATAAAAATCTAAATAGGCGTTGAATTATTTTTGAAAAAAAGAAGTATACGCTTATTATTTAGAAGGTAATATTTATTCTCAACTAAAATCGAACCAATAAGATCTATTTAAGAGTGTTTCGCAAAGTTTCTTGAATACTGCTTTTGATTTTTAAAATAAAAAACAAAATTTCTTTAAGAAAACTTTGTTTAATATCATGCAAAGAAATGACTTTCTCAAATGAGAACGATCAATAAGCTTTGTACAATTATCGAAAATCGAGACAAAGCTCAAGGTAACATTTGACTCATATTGCACATTGTAAAAAATTTATCAAGTGCAAAAAAGGATACACTTGAATATTGAGTCAATTCTTCATACAAATTGAACAACTACTCATTCCATAGGTATCTGTAGTTGCTCGTTTGACTTTTGTTGATATCTTCATTCCACTTCTTGTTTGATCATCTCTTGTTGAACATGAGTTAGTAGACCTGGCTAGATGCTGAAAGTGTTGGGTAATAATGTTTTCTGTATATCTCGAAAATCAACGATTATTTTAATGAACAGTGTATCGTCTCGTATATAAGGATTTCCTTCTTGTTGAATATATGCCAGCGGAGGAAAATTTAGGAATACCACTGGCTATGTTCATATCCGATCGAGGTCACTAAAAACTACTCGATTTAATAGCTAGTCGAAATGTATCGATAATATGTCATGGTACAGGTGTCTGATCGTACAAACGAAATGCAACTTTATGGTTAAACGGAAATTTCAGAATTGTATCATTCACATCCCACATGAGTGCAAAAAAGAGTGACATATGCGTACGACGAGCATTTCCATCACCATCTAAATAAAGACGAACTCTCATTTTATAAACAGTTGAAGATGAATAAAATGGCGGTGAACAAATTGATGTTTGTCTTTTAGACTGTGCATCCACTAGAAATTAAACAAAAAATATACATGAGCAAGAGCAGAAGTAAGCATAAAAGAATTTAAAGAATCATCTACGTTGACGAATCATTTCGTCCATGTTGCAGACAAGGGTGTGGGTGTTAGACTGCCCACAACAACACCCACACCCACATCTGCAAGTTGATGTTTAAGAGATGCCCCATGAAGAAGCCAAAGATTTTCGGATGTCGGAAAACATGGAGGGATAAATAGATTTCGAATTTGACAACATAGAAAATTACTGAGACATCCTCCAAGCATACCCTCAAAAAGTGATTAAAATTGGACAATCATCTTTTGTGAATCGGAGACCGAAAATGAGCCAAACTCGAATCAGTAAAACTCGGTTTGATTGAGCCTCTATTGTAAATTTTTGCTTTGAAATTGTGTGCCTGTTGAAATTGAATCACATACTAACCGACAGAGCTTGATCTGCTAGAATCATGTACTGGACATTATTTCAAAACGTTCCAGGTCGGGATATTAAGGCTTGAATATGGACCTCTGAAGCCATATTTCAACTATTTTTAGTACTACGCCATATAAAATTTATAAAATTTTATGTTGAAAATTTTTTAATATTTTCAATTGAGCTAATCTGAAAAAAATATAATTATAATGTTTCACGTCAACCACAATATCGAAGAGAAAAATGTCAAATACAGTATTTTCTACATACAACATGTCCTTGACGCTACAATATTTAGTTGAAACATTCATATCATCAGAGAATTAGCAAAAAGATAACTGTATCATATGGTAGTCCATTTAATTTTGGCATCTAATCAGTCAAAGTAGAAGATAATATTTTAGTACTTTTGAGAAATCAGAGTTATCACATGTGAACGAGGTCTACATGGCTGAATTAGTATTTTTCATTGAAAAGTCTATTACGTATTAATTCAACTTATTTGAAACGATTTGGTTTGTTGAAATAATCAATTTGTTGCATGCTAAGAACTGGCCGGCTCAAAGTTTTGAGCTGGTCCTATATGTTCGATATGTTTGCTGTTTAAATGATATACGACTTTAAATAGTAGATCTGTTCGAATCTTAAAAAATTGAACATAACAGTCTGTATAATTCACAGATGTTTCTTGTAACTTCTACTATGGCAAAAAGCTCTAAATATGCACGGTCATCAATTAAATTGAACTAATTATGAAGCTTCGAAGCTGCAATCCCATATATTTATCAAAAAAAAGAATACGTAATATTTTTTTTATCAGCTTCTATTTTATTTCTCAGTAAGAAGCCGACGAAAATTGGTGAATGCGAAAAATAGTCTAGTAATTTATAATAAAAGAACAAAAGCTTTCAGCTACATGTATATGAAAAAAAACAATGCAGTTCATAAACTATATGTTGTCCGTCTGATTTTCGTGGTAGTACTATGTAAAAAATAAAGTGGATATTGGCCATTGCTCAGGACATTTACTTTTGAGAGGCAGATTAAGTAAAAATAAAGGGCAGGCGCTAGTTTGCATGCGATATGAATATTCTTACAGCTCCTTGTTTTAGCGTTGAAATGAAATTAAAATTTGGTTAACGTCTAACGAAATTTAGTTTCCCCACAACGTTGAACACAATTTCATTTTAGTTTATCATTGGGCATGGGTATGAATCTAGGAATTTGTGTAGTTTCATGCGTCACTGTTCTGTTCCACTCCCACTAAGACATGTACATATGTGTAGGAGGCGATTTAAAACTTGATTAGCATATTTGTTTGAAAGTTTTGTTCTTTACCAGGTTCTACTAATAATTCTACATCCTGATAGCATTTTCAAATGAACAAAATCAATATATTGAATTGATGTCAGGGTCTAGAATTACTGCAATTCATTTACGTCATTCACTGACAGTGAGTTATTGATAAAATTTCTCGATTGATAGTCATCTATATGTTCGTGGATGCGTTCACAGACAGACTTTGAGGATGATTTGCTTTTCATATTTTATTTATGCATAAAGTTGTTAAGTGATATTACCATAAAACATTTTTCAGACAAACACGTTATAGAGATTTCGAGAATGTCTTTGCTCGACGTTGACTAATTCTTTATTCGCCACGGTGAAAAACGGAATTTTTATCTGTTTCAGATATTTTAACTTCATATAATTGAAGACTATGATTATTGTTATCAATCTTATATTTTTGTATAGCATCGTATAATATTTTCCATACATAAATACATAAATTTTCGATGGTTGATACTTGACCATTATCTTTGAAATAATGAATATCATAATCTAAGTGTTTGTGATCTAATTGCTTTATGATATTTTCATGTATTAGTGACTTAAGATCAGTTAAATGCATAAGTAATCCTGTTGTTTTATCAATATGTCCACATATTGTAACATCAAGTTGATAGTTATGCCCATAACCATATTTATTATTGCATGGTCCATATATATGTTCATTTTCTAAATCCGATAATTTGTATGAATGTAAACGATTCGCTGTTGAAAATTGTTCGCGACGAGTGAGATAGATTTTTTCAGACGACATGTTCACTTTCACGTTACGAAGAAAAAAAATGATGAAGAATCGTCAAGGTAGGCAATTGCTTTTTTGTTCATAAAAAATATTCTTTCTAACGCGTAATAATTTCGTCTTTTTCGTTCCATATCTGATTGAAGGTTTTGCTTCATTGTTGCTTCTTCGTGTATTCATTAAGATGCGCATGAATAATTCTTCATAGCGAAATTGCGTGGTTCTATTACGCACACAATCATATATGATGAATTGGTAACTATTTGTTTGTTAACTACGCTTCAGAAAATTAATTTCATAATTAATGTCAAAAAAATATTGTGTTCGAAACCTATCGATATTTGAAAATAACTCATCGTCTTTGAAAATCAATATTAGTTTTTACTTGAATGAACAACAGCGTATTGATCTTAATGAACTGGTCTCTCAAATAAAATCTATACAATTTAATGATGGTCTTTCAAATGATTGTATTAATTCTTTATTGATTGAATTTATTCAATTATTCTCAAAATATTTAGCATTAAATATTGATATTTCAATCGCTACTAACCAGGAGGATTCTTTCGATATGAGTTCTTATTCATTTCCTAGTTGTTTTCAAAATCAAATAATAGAACTAATTACTAATTCTTTACAATTTTTACCTGCTGATTCTGTTCTTATATTCGCATTTGATACATGTGTTCCATCCCGTTTATTGTTGGTAAATCATCGAACTCGTGGATGGGAATTACCCGGAGGAAAATTAGAACCGAATGAAACCGAAATCGATGCTATCATCAGAGAAATACGTGAGGAAGCTGCAACTGAATTAGTTTTCAATTCTATCAAACAAATTGTACAATATCGCTTTTTTGAAAATCATCAAGGAAAAATTCATAGAAGAACGGTTTTCGTTGGAATTATTGATTCTATATCAGACACTCTATTATGTATGGATACGTTAGCAAAAAAATGTATTTTACCTTCAAAATGGACAGATGAAGACATTTTCGATCCAGTTCTTAATTATAGCCAATATTTGAAGGATAACGTTTATACAATTTGTCTCAAATTAGCCATAACAAGAATTATGGTCGATCAATAAATGAGTATCTCTTTAAGACTAAACTATTATTAATGATATAGTACGCTGAATATTCTAGTTGACCTATTCAACACTAAGCTATTTTTGTTTATGGTTGAATCCTTTAGTATTTTTATGAAATAAAATGCTTCTTGATAAAAGGTGGCGAATTCTCTTTTCAATTTTGCAACATATTTGTCAAGTGTGTTACTAGTTTATAATTCTGACCATTATATGTAGTGACAATGGGACGACAAGGAAAATATTTCCTGAGCACTTTCACTGAATGTGTGAGCGTGGATCTGGGTGTCGTTGTTCATGACAAGAACTGCCACACTCACACTTCACTCACCTACAACCGAAATGCATTGAGTGTTATGGTCACTTAGTAATACGAAATACTACTTTTTGTAAGTGTTTTCATGCAAAATTCATATTTGTTTTCTTGATTTTTGTACTCTGTAGATAAATAACACAATTAGCATTATTTAACTATTGAAACATTTCGTTTTCTGGAAGATGTAAAACTCGTAGCGAAAAAAAAAGGAAATATTGCCTACATATATATATGAAACAAAAGAACACGACGCCGTCATGCTGAAAGCATGAATAACACTTTATGACATTGAAACAAAACACAACAGCATAAGTAATAATTGAACGTGAAATGGACTGGAGGCGAGATACAGAATCAATACATTCTAACTACCTTGGTCGTAATTGACAATATTTATCTATATATTAAAAGTTGAGTTGCATTTCAATGAAAGCATCAATCTTTGTTGTGCTTTAACAGATGATAATTATGGCTTACGCCATTCACATAGATGTATTATACTCACATCTTTAGCCGTACTCGGTTTCTCAAGCAATTTCAATTTTCAAGACGAACAACGCATTGACAGTTAGATCGTAACTGGAGTACTTAGAAAGCAACAATCTGTTGAACTCTTTTTAATATAAAATACCTTCGAAACTCGTACCAATGCATGATGATCTTTGATCTTTTGAAAAAGACATGAGAAAATAGTCGCAACATCAATATATTAACAGTGAATATTAAAAATCGGGTATGTGTTCATAAATGTTACAGGTATATCAAAGCGCAGAATTCGAAACTTCTCGAAACTTACAATGTAGAACCTGTCACACAGTCATCATATTTTAGTCATCGCAATACGAAAGCATTGTACTATAAAATTACATGAACAGTGTTACAACTTTATTATCTATTTGTTGATGTCAATCTCAAATATGAACAAAACGCCAGAAGTAAGTAGTAGCGTTTATTTCGAAACTTATCAGGTTTCTGCTGAAAATCATTGCTGTAATGATTTCATATAGTTCCTTTGCGAATAAAACGAGACTTGTACAGTGCTGCCTATTTATATGAGTCAATATGTGTCCGGTTTGATCACACTTTGTGAGGTCTGACCAATCCACCGAATCCAATAGAAGTTTTGCTAAGGGTGTTGGATGTCGGTGTCTGTGTGGTATATGACTGTGGGTATCGCACATAAGTAGGGGTGACTGCGTGTACATGTGGGAGTCTAAAGATGTGTGGATGCGGATGAGTGTGAATGTAGAATATCTTGTGTGAGTAACGGTGTGGGAGACTTATGAAACTATTAAAGGGGTTTTTAGCTTCACTTAATCCTTACTTCGCTCATAGTCACAACTATAGTCCTGTAGCTAGACCTACATACTACAAACCTACGACATGTACATAGCTCACATCCCACATCTTGCACAATCTGTTAGAGAGAGTGACTGATAGTTTTTCAAAAAGCTTAAAAGAACGATGAGTTTATAGCTATGATGCAGCTATATATACATGTAGAATTTTTTCTTCTCGGACAGAAAGAAGTGGCGAAGTATTGATTGCATCTTGGAGTGAGTAAACTAAGATGGTGAACGATCATCTCTCGAAGTGCAAGGTTTCTTTTTTGGTATGAATCATACTGCATACATATGAGTCAAGTTTACTTTTGTTTGTCACTATTTCTTCTTTCTCTGAATTAGTATCTACAAATTTTTGGACATTGAGTAGGGTGTGCGTGTGGATGTCACACTTCTTTTCATTCAAATGCAAGCCCATACCAACACCCACACCCACACCCGCATTCTTGCCCGTCAAGTGGCCACACTGACAACTTTACTATCAGCATATTAGATTGTCTCAACGTTTCCTGGAGACATGGGAACTTTTCTTCAAGATCAAGAAATTCATTTTATAAGCACTGATCCAAGGAAATTTCACATGGAAATACACGCTTTCAGTTATGCTGATTTCATAAATGTCTTGGTTATCAGACTATTTGAGGGATGTGGTGATAAGTGGATGCAGGGATGGATGAGGTAAACCCGTTGGTGTGTGTATGAATTTTCTCTGTGCCAACACTAAACAACGCTCCACTCACCAATTTACACTCAAAAGCATTCTCAAACCAGGCAATAAAGATGAGTCATGTGTAGTCTTGTTGGCTCCGTATATCTCCTTGAAAGAAGTATGATGCTAAGTTGAGTCTAGCACAACTTTTTCTGTGTTACGTAACATCTGATTACGTTAAAAGCTTCAGAACTCATCAGAGAGTTCTTCGAATACTTCAAAAAGAGAAAGGATATCATTAAATTTTATTTTCTGACATATTTCTAATTATATTGAAATTTCATCTTTCTCGTATAAAACCTATCATATCTGTAGTATTTTAATTTTCTTGACTCTTTCCAATGAGAAACTGCAAAACATTGGACAGTAAACTAGCGAAGAAAAGAATTAAAATAAGAACTCCCTAATATTTCTGGAAATTCGCAATTGCTTGTTTCCTGCTAACTCTCATCTAGACAATAAATTGTTTGCTTTCTCCAATTTCGGCGATCTGGATTTCTCAGCATAACATTTCAAAGGAACATAGTCAGGATAGAATTTGAAATTTGAGTAGAGTAGATAATTCTTCGTAAACTGGCGGACAGTCGTTCTGTTAAGAGAGGACGGCGGCACTTACGGATCGAAGTCGGCTCATTCTCAACTTCACGACAAATCATGTATGATTGGATGCAAAATCTTATACTGAGATTTTTGGTAGTAGCTTGAATTTGATTTGATAATGTCTTAGAAAATAATGACCCTAAAAGTAATCCTTAACTTTTCATCGTCGAAAACCGAAAATATTTTGCTAATATCTGTTCACAGCAAGGTTACTCATTTTCGAGATTGTGTCATCGAATAAGACATTCGATTTCACATTGATACTTTTAAGAATAAATCTATTTAAAAAATTCTTCGATTCACCACTTTCTTGAAGTTCAGTAGTAGGTTGTCTCAAATGTTGATCCTCTTTGTAGCT